CACTCATAACACTTTGGCATCCTTGATTTTTTAAATTTATTTATTTTAGCCATTTCCCCACACAATGGATACATTTCCCCAAAACATATCCAGCCTTAACAGGAGCAAATATTTCAGGATTAGAGAAATGTTGTGAAATCACAAGAGAAACTTTATGGTAGTTTACAACTCTGCTTTGACAAAGTACAATTTATTGCTGCAGGGATGTGTGACTCTGAACTGCTTCCATAAAATTACAATTAGAATAGAATTAAATAATTATTATAACATTTATTCTTCAACATTAATGAATTTACTGAGCCTCTAAATAATCACCAAAGCGACTGTCAGGGTGAAAACATTTTGGGACCCCTGTGCACCCTGTTTAGAGTAGCAGTTGCCAAACTTTTTCATCCATGGAACCTTCAGGAGACATTTATCTTCTGTGGAACCCTAACTCTATCCCTGATTTGTATAATAAAAATATATGTTCTGGAACATTTTACACTAATTCAAATACAATTCTTAATTTCCTATATAATTTTACCATCACTCAGTATTTGAACTTTTATTAGCAAGCCACCCCCTTGGCCGCACCCCTGGACCAAATGGACTGGTCTGGGTAAATAGACTGGACCTGCTGGGTGCCTTATCTTACAACAGCCCCTTGGGCATTCCTTGAGGACAATTGGGTGTGGGGTGGATTGGACTAATTTTAGGTGGGGATGGGTGGTGTGTGACAATGTTTTGAGGGTGTTGAGCTGTTATTTATCAGGTTTTTTGCCATTTAAGCCACTGGACTCTAAAACCTGTAATCATGTTTCAATGCAATGTACGTTTGAAATATTTGAAAAGTTTTAATATGTTTTAATCATTTGAAATGTGTGTTTTTTACAATTTTATAATATTGTATTCTACTGATATTGTTATTAGCTGAATCTGGAATTGAATTATTGCCATAGTTTGTAAGCTGCCCTGAGTCCCCCTGCGGGATGAGAAGGGCAGGATATAAATGCAGTAAATAATAATAATAATAATAATAATAATACTAATAATGTCCACTTATGGCGTAAATTTTACTTTTGATGTTTTATAAATAAAAATCCCCTTGCAAATAAAATGTTGAAATATGAAGCCAAGTAACTACCTTCCCGATAGCAATAAATGTAGTATAAATCAAATAATTGGCCTTTTAGAGCCCCCGGTGGCGCAGTGGGTTAAATCCCTGTGCCGGCAGGACTGAAGACCGACAGGTCGCAGTTTTGAATCTGGAGAGAGGCAGATGAGCTCCCTCTATCAGCTCCAGCTCCTCATGCGGGGACATGAGAGAAGCCTCCCACAAGGATGATAGAAACACCAAATCATCCAGGTGCAGACGGCCAATTCTCTCACACCAGAAGCAACTTGCAGTTTCTAAAGTAACTCCTGACATGACAAAAAAATGGCCTTTTGTGATTTAATTTTTTTAATCTTTTAAAAATTTGATTTTTAAGATTTTTTGCAGAACAGCTATGCTTTTGCGGAATACTAGAGTTCCGTAGAACAATTTGAGAAATGCCGGTTTAGAGTACATGTTGAGTATCCCTTTTTTGGAATGTTGAAATCCAAAATCTGAAATTATCCACATGAGTTGCTAAGATAGTGACAACTTTGCTTTCTGACAGTACAATATACACAAACTTTATTTCATACACAAAATCATTGAAATGTGTTGTATTAAATTATGTGTACACCATGCATATGGTATGTAAATGAAAGTTGTGTTTAGACCTGGGTCCCATTTCCAAGACATCTCATTAAAAGAATGCAAATATTCCAACAACTGAAAAAAAATCCAAAGTATTTCTGGTCCCAAGCATTTCAGCTAAATGATATTCAGCCCATAGGCTATATGTTTCCAGTATGCAAAACCTCTGAGAAGGAATCGGTTATCTACAGAATTTATAGAGTTTCTGGGTTCTGTGTGTAGCTATACAGCAAGTTTTTTGCATGCATAAAACATTACCTGAATGTTGTTTTATGAATATAAAAACTGTAAATAATAAAATATTACATATAAAAACATTTTGGAACACCTTGTATGTGTTTGTGTCAGAATCTGAAACACAATTAAAGATCTATTTCTTCTGGCAGATATATCAGTCAATTTCAAACTATTATATTAATGTATTGTCAAATCTATCTCACTTAATGTATATTTTTAACGGTTTTGTGTTTTTATTTCAGTATTTGAGGTATTTTAACTACAAGTGCATCTACACTATAGAATTAATGCAGTTCGACAAGAGTTTAATTGTCAGTGCTCAATGCTGCAGAATCCCAGGAGTTGTAATTTGGTGAGCCACTTGCTTCAGATAATGTGGTTTCCTATGAGAACCCAGAATGCATCTACACTTTAGAATTAATACGATTTTGAAACCACTTTATAGTCATGGCTCAATTCTATAGAATTGTGGAAATTGGAGTTTTACAGCCGCCTCTGCCAAAGATTGCTGAAGCCATACCACTGTGCCATGGCAAGTAACTTGGTATCAAACTGCAGTCATTGTACAGTGTAGATGCATCTTATGTTTTAGTCCATCTCGAGCCTTGAGAGATAATGACAATGATGTTATTGCATATGCACATAGAGATGCCATTATTATTATTATTATTATTATTATTATTATTATATGCACAGCGACAGATAGACAAGAAAATGTACTCAGCGGGAATTTGGGAGAAAAGTTATCTAGTTCTTAACTCTTAATTGTAATTGTATTTTAACATTTAATGACAGAAAGATTTAATTGGTTTTTTATATATATACACACACACACACATTCATATTTACATGCTTAATTTGTATCATGCATCACATTCACTGTTAGTTCCTACGTCAGGGGAAAGGCGGAATAAAAATACAACTAGTAACAACAATAAATAAAATAGAGGGTAAATTAAAACGGTAAAGATTTTCCCTTGACGTTAAGTCTAGTCATGTCCGACTCTGGGGGGTGGTGCTCATCTCCCATTTCTAAGCCAAAGAGCCAGCGCTTTCCATAGATACCTCCAAAGTCATGTGGCTGGCGTGATTGCATGGAGTGCCGTTACCTTCCCACCGAAGCAGTACCTATTGATCTACTCACATTTGTATGTTTTCAAACTGCTAGGTTGGCAGAAGCTGGCATGAACAGAGGGAGCTCCCCCTGCTCCCCAGATTCAAACCACCGACCTTTCGGTCAGCAAGTTCAGCATCTCAGCAGTTTAACCCACTGGGTCACCAGGGGACCCAAAATAGAGATTTTAAAGGGAAGAAGAAAGAGCATGAAAGAGAATACACCAGAAATAGCATTATTATCATTGTGTAATATTATATCTTTACAAGAAATAAAGGAATTACTTTCCAACCTATTAACAGCAGCAAGACTAACCATTGCAAAAAAAATGGAGAGATAAAAGCAAAATTCAATTGGAAGAATGGTATAGAATGTAGGTATAGAACGTTGTGAACCAAGAGGGGTGTTTAATCATATGATATGGGAATGTGATCAAGTGCAAGAATAGTGGAAAATCACTGAAGGAGAAACCAATAGAATGTTAAATTTACAAATAGTAATGGTTAATAGACATGTATTACATGCACGGATAACAGGAGTGAAGAATATATGAAAGGAAAAATTGGTTGACAAATTAATAGCATGTGCACAAATTGTTTTAGTGAGGAATTGGAAATATAAAAACAAAATGGTCACTGACTAATTGGTTTTTTTTGTTTGGTCATGTCAGGAGCGACTTGAGAAACTGCAAGTCACTTCTGGTGTGAGAGAATTGGCTGCCTGCAAGAACGTTGCCTAGGGGATGCCCGGATGATTTGATGTTTTTATCATCCTTGTGGGAGGCTTCTCTCATGTCCCCGCATGAGGAGCTGGAGTTGATAGAGGGAGCTCATCCACCTCTCCCCAGATTCGAACCTGCGATCTGTTGGTCTTCAGTCCTGCCAGCACAGGGGTTTAACCCACTGTGCCATCGGGGGCTCCGACTAATTGGTATAACTATATAGATAATATGTTAAATGTGGAAATAACAAATTGTAAATGGAATAATATAGAAAAAATTGTAAAGGTCACAATAACTAAGAGGATGTGGGAACCAGTTAGAATTTATTTAGAAAATGTGCTAAGATGTGGAGTAGAAAAATTAAAACTGATATTTCAAATGTAACTTCTGTAGTTTGATGTAGAAATTGCATGTACAAGGAGGGGAGGGTGGGAATGGGGAAAGAAACAATAAAACCATTTTTAAAAAGGTATAGAACGTAGGAATTGTGGGAGTTGAAGTCCAAAATCATAGAATGATAGAATCAAAGAGTTGGAAGAGACCTCATGGGCCATCCAGTCCAACCCCCTGCCAAGAAGCAGGAATATTGCATTCAAATCACCCCTGACAGATGGCCATCCAGCCTCTGTTTAAAAGCTTCCAAAGAAGGAGCCTCCACCACACTCCGAAGCAGAGAGTTCCACTGCTGAACGGCTCTCACAGTCAGGAAGTTCTTCCTCATGTTCAGATGGAATCTCCTTCTTGTAGTTTGAAGCCATTGTTCCGCGTCCTAGTCTCCAGGGAAGCAGAAAACAAGCTTGCTCCCTCCTCCCTGTGGCTTCCTCTCACATATTTATACATGGCTATCATATCCCCTCTCAGCCTTCTCTTCTTTAGGCTAAACATGCCCAGCTCCTTAAGCCGCTCCTCATAGGGCTTGTTCTCCAGACCTTTTATCATTTTAGTCGCCTCCTCTGGACACATTCCAGCTTGTCAATATCTCTCTTGAATTGTGGTGCCGAGAATTGGACACAATATTCCAGGTGTGGTCTAACCAAAGTGGAATAGAGGACTAGCATTATTCCGCTTTGGTTAGACCACACCTGGAATATTGTGTCCAAAATACCTGGAGGGCTGAAGTTTGCCCATGCCTGGTTGAAACAGAAAGGGAAAAAGCATGAGACAGAGAGAGAAAAGGACAACCACAGCTATTTTCCACTCACCCTCCAGCAAAAAGGTGCACACAAGTGTCCTTCTGGTTCATCCTCTCATTCTCCAAAGGCAGGCTCTCTTCCTAACGTCTCCTTCCCCTCAGAAAGAGGGTGAGGCTATTTCCCCCTCTTGCTTAAGGAAGGCTCCCTTCCCATTCCTTCTCCCAAACTATTTCTCCCTCAAGAGACACCCAAGCTGCTTCCTCCTCCTCCTCCTTCCTCCTCAGTGACAAGAGGGCAACTGAGGCGTCCTCCACTGAGGCCTTCTTCTTCCCCTTCTCAAGGCGAAACGCGGCCCAAGATAAACAGAGGCCGCGATTGGCTGGAGCGGGGCTGTGACGTCGCCGGCGCGAGGCTTATCAGGCTCCGAGCACGTGACCGCGAGTAACGCAGCGACGCATCAATGGAAGCCAGAGGGAGAGAGGGAGAGAGAGAAGAGAGAGGGGGAGAAAGGCCTTGCAAAAGGATTGCAATCATTGAACTGCACTAATTCTGCAGTGTAGATGCACCCTCAGAGGCAAGCTGCCTTATCTGAAAAGAGAGTTGAGTTTTATCTCTCCACCTTTGGCTCTTGAGGCTGGAATTTGCCTCTTTTTCCCTGCCTGGAAATAAAAACAAAAAAAGGGAAAGCAGCTCAAAAGATTGAGCAACAAACACTCTTCCCTCCAGCTCTCGCCCTCACTTGGCTTTTTTACTTCCTCACACTAGAGAATCATTGAATCATGAAGTTGGAAGAGACCTCATGGGCCATCCAGTCCCACCCCCTGCCAAGAATCAAGAATATTGCATTCAAATCACCCCTGACAGATGGCCATCCAGCCTCTGTTTAAAAGCTTCCAAAGAAGGAGCCTCCACCACACTCCGGGGCAGAGAGTTCCACTGCTGAACGGCTCTCACAGTCAGGAAGTTCTTCCTCATGTTCAGATGAAATCTCCTCTCTTGTAGTTTGAAGCCATTGTTCCGCGTCCTAGTCTCCAAGGAAGCAGAAAACAAGCTTGCTCCCTCCTCTCTGTGGCTTCCTCTCACATATTTATACATGGCTATCATATCTCCTCTCAGCCTTCTCTTCTTCAGGCTAAACATGCCCAGCTCCTTAAGCCGCTCCTCATAGGGCTTGTTCTCCAGACCTTTGATTATTTTAGTCGCCCTCCTCTGGACACATTCCAGCTTGTCAATATCTCTCTTGAATTGTGGTGCCCAGAATTGGACACAATATTCCAGGTGTGGTCTAACCAAAGCAGAATAGATGGGTAACATTACTTCCCTAGATCTAGACACTATGCTCCTATTGATGCAGGCCAAAATCCCATTGGCTTTTGCCGCCACATCACATTGTTGGCTCATGTTTAACTTGTTGTCCACGAGGACTCCAAGATCTTTTTCACAAGTACTGCTCTCAAGCCAGGCATCCCCCATTCTGTATCTTTGCATGAATCCACTTTAAATCCAGTTTCTGCCTCTTGCAGAATTCTGGGGTTTGATTTTACATTAAGGTGTTGAAACATTGGTTGCCATTCAATAATAAAAGTTATCTACTAGTTCTCTTAATAATACAGTTATTTTGTCCATTATCAGCATACTTATAATATATTTTCCCCATTCTTCTAAAGGAGGTTTCTCGGGTTTTCCAATATCTGGCATATACTATTCGCGAGGATCCTATATAAGATTGTCTTCTGCCAACCTAGCAGTTCGAAAACATGCAAACGCGAGTAGATAAATAGGTACCGCTCCGGCGAGAAGGTAATGGCGCTCCTTGCAGTCATGCCGGCCACATGACATAGGTGTCTATGGACAACACCGGCTCTTCAACTTAGAAATGGAGGTGAGCACCAAACCCCAGAGTCAGACACGACTGGACTTAATGTCAGGGGAAAACCTTTACCTTTACCTATATAAGATTGTAGACAAGGAGGAAGCGGATGTAAAGTAAGAGTCTATGATATTTGTATATGTATTATTTAGATAGAAGATGTGACCCCTTACAGGAAATATAAGGTAAAAGTTAAGGTCAAGTTCAGTCGTGTCCAACTCTGGGGTGTGGTGCTCATCTCCATTTCTAAGCCAAAGAGCCGGCATTGTCCATAGACATCTCCAAGGCCATGTGGCCTGCATGACTGCATGGAGCGCCGTAAAGGAAATATAGTATCAGATAAATGATTATAGAAGATTGATAGAAAGTATTGCACTGTGTGCAACAAACACTTGCAAATGTATGTCTACTTCAATAAAAAAAGAAATTATGGGGTTTGTAGTTTAGGAAGGAGCCTTGAACTCTAAACTACAAACCCCAGAAGTCTGCAGGAGGCCTTGAGTCTTATTAGCTCGTAGCTGCATCTACACTGGAGAATTAAGGCAATTTGACACCACTTTGGCCTAGGAGTGGCATTTTTTGCAAGGTCTTTTATAGACTTCTCTGCCCAAGAATACTGGCGCCGCACCCAACTATGGCTGGGTCTACACTGCTATATAATCCAGTTTCTGAATGTGGATTAAATCTTTTGAACTGGATTATATGACTACACACTGCCATATAATCTCGGTTCAATGCTGCTAATCTGCATTCTGTGTAAATTGGGCCTATAACTTTGCAGCATTCCATAGCACTGAGTTACAAGTGGTGTTAAACTGCGCTAATTCTACAGTGTAGATGCATACTCTGTATGTTCAAAAGCGAAGGCAGTTTGGCCTAGGAGTGGCACTTTTTGCAAGGTCTTTTATAGACTTCTCTGCCCAAGAATGCTGGTGCCTCACCAAACTACAACTGCGTCTACACTGCTATAACATCCAGTTTCTGAATGCGGATTAAATGCTTTGAACTGGATTATATGACGACACATTGCCAAATAATCTTGGTTTAATGCTTCTAATCTGCATTTCGTGTAAATGGGGCCTATAACTTCACAGCGTTCCATAGCACTGAGTTACAAGTGGTGTCAAACTGCATTAATTCCAGTGTAGATGCACACTCTGTATGTCCATTAGCAAAGGCAGTTTGACACCACTTTGGCCTAGGAATTGCACTTTTTGCAAGGCCCTTTAGACTTCTCTGCCCAAGAATTCTGGTGCCTCACCCAACTACGACTGCTATATAATCCAGTTTCTGAATGCGGATTAAATGCTTTGAACTGGATTATATGACTACACACTGCCATGCAATCTCGGTTCAATGCTCCTAATCTGCATTCTGAGTAAATGGAGCCTATAACTTCGCAGCGTTCCATAGCAGAGTTACAAGTGGTGTCAAACTGCGTTAATTCTACAGTGTAGATGCACTCTGTCCAAAAAGGAACACGCCCAAACTCCGGGAGCCATTTGCACGGAAGCTAAGACAACGAAGGTTTCTCCTCCTTCCTAGGATCAAGATGCTGCAACTCGGCTCCTCCAGATCTGCTCCTAACGCGCTTCAATGCCTGATGGGCCTTGGTGGTGCGGAAGCAGAGTGAGCCCTCTCCCCTCCCTCTCTCCCCAAAGCGATTGCAAGGATTGACCCGCATTCACACGTTCATTTCCCCCGATCCCACCAGCCCCTCGAAGGGAGAACCTACCCTCCAGCAAACAGATGCACCAAGGTGTCTCTCTGGCTCATTCTCTCTCATTCTTGTCCCCAGCAGAAGAAAGCAAGAGGACGCTTCCTTGGCTCCGCTGAGGCTTAATGGCGCAGCACAGCCGGGAGAGGCGCCGCGGGCGACACCTAGTGGCCAAGGAGGCACACGGCACAGGGCCATGCAAAGTGTGCAAATGGAGGAAGCCCCATAGAATCCTGGAATCATAGAGTTGGAAGAGACCTCATGGGCCATCCAGCCCAACCCCCTGCCAAGAAGCAGGAAGATTGCATACAAAGCACCCCCGACAGATGGCCATCCAGCCTCTGTTTAAAAGCTTCCAAAGAAGGAGCCTCCACCACACCCTGGGGCAGAGAGTTCCACTGCTGAACAGCTTTTACAGTCAGGAAGTTCTTCCTAATGTTCAGATGGAATCTCCTTTCCTTGTAGTTTGAAGCCATTGCTCCATTGCGTCCTAGTCTCCAGGGCAGCAGAAAACAAGCTTGCTCCCTCCTCCCTATGACTTTCTCTCGTGTATTTATATATGGCTATCATGTCTCCTCTCAGCCTTCTCTTCTGAAGGCTAAACATGCCCAGCTCTTTAAGCCACTGCTCATAGGGCTTGTTCTCCCGACCCTTGATCATTTTAGTCGCCCTCATCTGGACACATTCCAGCTTATCAACATCTACCTTCAATTGTGGTGCCCAGAATTGGACACAATATTCCAGGTGTGGTTTAACCAAAGCAGAATAGAGGGGTAGCATTACTTCCCTGGATCTAGACCAGGGGACCTCAAACTTTTTAAACAGAGGGCCAGGTCACAGTCCCTCAAACTGTTGGAGGGCCGGATTATAATTTGAAAAAAACACGAATGAATCCCTATGCACACTGCACATACCTTATTTGTAGTACAAAAACACTTAAAAACAATACAATAACTAAAATTAAGAACAATTTTAACAAATATAAACTTATAAGTATTTCAATGGGAAATGTGGGGCTGTTTTTGGCTGATGAGATAGGGTTGTTGTTGTTGTTGTTGTTGTGCTTTCAAGTCATTTCAGACTTAGGTTGACCCTGAGCAAGGGCCGGGTAAAAGACATTGGAGGGCCGCATCCGGCCCCCGGGCCTTAGTTTGAGGACCCCTGATCTAGACAATATACGCCTATTGATGCAGGCCAAAATCCCATTGGCTTTTTTTGCCACCGTATCACATTGTTGGCTCATGTCACACTTTTTGTTCCTTTTTGGCCAACGTGCCCAAACACGCCTTATTTCCCTCTACCTTTGGGGCACAAAGAGAGGTCCCATAATTTACTGCCACACAATGCACTTTGAAACTGCATTGAACTGCATTATATGGTCTACACAAGGCATGGGCCAACTTTGGTCCTCCGGGTGTTTTGGACTTCAACTCCCACAATTCCTAACAGCCCATGCCTGATCTAGAATCACAAAGTCGTGTCAAACTGTATTAATTTCACAGTGTAGATGCACCTGGAGTTGTAGTTTTACTGTGCAATCTTGGAGTTTGCAACATCCAATGAAAACTTGGGATTTGTATAAATTGCATATAATTCCTCGTGGGCCTCACTAAATTGCAAATGCACAGGGTGTTGTCATGGCAGTTAGAAGTGGAATTTTATAGTGCGATTGCAGGGTAGAGTGGGAAAGTTATCTTTGTCTCTGTTGCCCTCTCCATAAATATCTCATTTTCTCCAATCCAAAAGTACTTTCCCTTCTGGTATCCTATTTTCCAAACGT